GGCCAGCCTCTGAAACTTAGTGAGGCCCTCAGCAAATTAGCAAGACCCTGTTTTAAGATAAAAAAATAAAAAGGACTGGGGGTAGGGGCTCAGTGGTAAAGCACCCCTGGATTCAATCCCCAGAACACCCTCCCAAAACAAACAAACAAACAAAGCTCACACTGAGAAGTACAGGAAGAAAGCTGTAAGGTCTCCCTTTCAGGCCAGGGCAGAGTCCCTGAGCCTTAAATGTCCCATCTCCTTGATTCTTAGTCCAAAATGTGCAGTCTCACTCAGAGGCCGGCAGAAGCTGGATCACTGCCCTGGGCCCCAGGGATCTTGCCTCACCTGCCCAGGGGAGCAGGGCCCTTCCCCAGGCTGCAGCATGGGAGCTGAGAGGGGCGTGGCTTGGGGTCACCCAGACCTGAGCTCGGGTCTTTGGAAGCTGGGTACAGGTCCCAGATCTGACTGACTCACACACTCAGGCCCCTGGGCCACCCTGCCCTGTACTTCAAATGGCTATTGTGAGCTCAACAGCTGTCCCTGCCAAGTGGCATCTTTGGGGCACAAAGAATAGTGGAGAGAGCAGGGCACACTGGGCCATTGTTCCTGAGTGGAGCAGCAGCAGCTGTGGTCACCGGAGGCTCCTGCTGACCTCCATCTCTAGGTCTCTCCAGCTGCCAGACCCTCCTGGCTGAAGCTCGCTGCAGCCCCTCCAACTGCAACTGGACAGGGGACCCCAGCCTCCACAGCACCTCTCATCAGGGACCCTCAGGAATAATGACCTTGAAGAAGCGTGGTGCCTTGGACCTGGGAGGGGGGCACCTGGGTCCTGGAGCATCAGGCACATGCGTCCTCTTATCTGGGCCTGGGCAGGGGAGGACAGCAGACAAGTCCCAGATCTCAAGGACAACTCTGATAACACCACTGTCCTGGGCCAGGCCCCCAGGGGTGCCTATCCTCAGACCCCCCAAGTGGGTGGCACCTATTGGTTCCATTTTACTGATGTGGAATCTGGGCCTCAGAGAGGCCATCAAATGCCTGGCCCAAGGTTACAGGCTGGTGGCTGAGCCAGATGAGCTGTGACTGCCCCCTGCCAGTCTGCACCTCCCCAGCACTTGGGGTGTTTGCGTGGGGATCAAGGCAGGTGCACAGGATCAAGGGGAGGAGGGTGAGGCCCATGTGCCCCCCAAGGCACCAGCTGTGATGGATTCAAGGCCAGGGGTGGGGGTGTGGGGCACACTGACTGGCCAGGCCCTGTAGCTAGAGAATTCCACAGCTCCCGGCCCCAGCCCCCTGCTTTCCAGGGCGGTGCATTCATAAAGGGAAAGGAACATCGTGCTGATGATTCAGGGAATTTGCAGCCAGCGCTAAATGAGAGACTCATAATGACAGTGATTAAAAATTAATGCCAGTGTTTGTGCAGTGATTTGGGTGTCCACTCTGCACCCATGAATTAATTAATAAATGACAATGTAAGCACTCAGCCTAAGCTGCAGGGCACAGAAGCTGGATGGGGGAGCTCCAGAGGGGACATCCCCAGGCCTGGGCACCTGGCCCCTCCTCAAGGGCATCACTGGGAATCCTCTGGCCTGAGGATCACTTCCTGTTTGTGCACAGTGGGGTGCTCAGCCATCTCAGTAGCTGTGAAATAGTCTAAGGGGACAGGGCAGTACCCCCCCCCCCGTCTCAGTGATATATCTCTGTCACCCAAGTCCTCCAGTGTCTATTTGTTCAACTGTGGATGGGGTGAGGTCTCCTGAAATTAAATTTCCAAGTAGGAAGTTGTGTTAATTTCCTGTGGCTGCTGTAACAAATGACCCCAAACTGGATAGCTTAAAACAACAAAATTTTAGGCTGGGTGCAGTGGGGTACGCCTCTAGCCCCAGCTAATTGGGAGGCTGAGAGGCAGGAGGATGGCAAGTCTGAGGCCAGACTTGATAACTTAGCAAGACTCTGTCTGAGAAAAATAGAATAATAATAAAAAGGGCCGAGAAGCTAGCTCAGTGGTAAACCACCGCTGGGTTCAATCCCCTGGACCTCAAAGGAAACCAAGCCCAGAGATGTATTTCTCTCACACTCTGGAGGCCAAAACTCCCAAATCAAGGTGCCACGAGAAAAGAACAACAGGTGCCGCAGGGCTGGCTCCCTCTGAAGGAGCCTCCGACCCTGTTCCTGTCTCTCCAGCACGTGGGGTGGCGCCAGGAAAGCCTTGGCTCTCTGGGGTGGGTGGACGGCCCCAGTCTCCCCTGTCTTCACGCAGCCCAATCAGTGTCTCTTCAGTACTGGTGTCTCAAGTGTCCCTCTCTCTCTCACATGTCGCCCGTTACCCAGTTTAGAGCTCGACCTCTTCCAGGATGATCTCATTTGGAGATGCTTAACTCAATGGCACCTGCGAGGACCCTCTAGACAAGATCCCCTTCACAGGAACCAGGGGCTGCTTAGGATTGAGATGTTTGGGGGGGCAAACAGTTCAATTCACTACAGAAGGGATTTGATTGATTGATTGATTGTGCTGGGGACTGAACTCAGGGGTGCTTTACGACTGAGCTACATCCACAGACCTTCTTGTTTGTGTATTTTTTCTTTAATTTTGAGATCGGATCTAAGTTGCCAAGGCTGGCCTCAAACTTGTGATCCTTCTGCCTCAGCCTCCTTAGTAGCTGGGATTGTAAGCGTGTGCTACTGCACCCAGCCAGAAGGCAAACTCCATGAACACAAGCTACCCTCATTCTTGTGCCCAGTTAAAGAAGAATCACTGGGAGAGTGAACCCAGCTATGTGGGATCCACCCCGTGCCTTCTGCTGGCCAGGACATGGGGTGCAGGGAGCCCAGGTGAAGGAGGAAAGCTGGGGGCTCTGGTTCCTGCTCATCTCCAACTAAGACCGACCGCTTTCAGGCCAGAGTATCAGAAATCACCTCGAACCATATCTCCAGGGCTCAGATGTTAATTTCTTTTTTTACTCTTTATTTTAATTTGTATTATATTTTATTTGTTATAGGTTTTATGATCTAATCTTTTCATTTTTATTGGTGCTTTATAATTATACATAATAGTGGGATTCACTGTTATGTGTTCACACACACAGAATATAATTTGGTCAGTATTATTCCATAGTATCTCCCCTGCTTTTTTTTTTTTAATATTAGTTGTTGTTGGACCTTTATTTCTTTAGGTGTGGTGCTGAGAATCGAACCCAGGGCCTCACACGTGCTACGTAAGTGCTCCACCACTGAGCCACGACCAGCCCCCAGTCCTTTTTATTTTGAGACATGGTCTAACCAAGTTTTCCAGGATGGCCTCAAATATGCAATCCTCCTGCCTCAGCTTCCCAAGTAGCTGAGACGACAGGCGTACCATACTGCCTGGCCTTTTTTTTAAGCCATGCCCCAAGCTGCCTGGCCGCCAGCCTTTCCCTTGGTCTGTTGGGTGTGTTCTCAGAGCTCTGTGCCCCCTTCTTGTCAGAGCCTCGGTGGGCTGGATGGAGCCTCCACACCAACCTCCCAGACCCGCTGAGGCCCTGACTGCCGCCCCTTCCTCCCTCTGCTGAGACCGCTTTCCACCCCGTTGTCTGATTGTGTGGCTCCTTGTTGTGTCCACGCTGGATGGAGCCACCCGAGGCTGGACACACCTCCCTCCAGGACAGAGATGCGCAGGGATGCGGGTGGAAGGCCTCGTCAGGAGACCTGGATTCGAGCTGTCATTCCGTGTGCCCTTGGCCTCCCCTGAACTGCCTGTCCTGCCAGGCTGCTGTGAGCCTCTCGTGGGCTCATGTTGACAGGTAAATGTCCTCTCAGGTCCCATCAACGCACAGAATGAGGCCAAGAAAAGCGAAGGCTTCCATCCTGGGCCCTCTCATCCCTACCCTCAACCTCTCACCCGCTGTCGTCCAGGGTGGCCCCAGCGCATGGAAACCCTGGGATCGCATCCCGCCCCTCCCAGCCCACCTGGGCTCCAGGTGTCCCTCTCTCCTGCGGTGTTCACAGGAACAACAAACTAGGTGCGACAGCCTCGGGAGGGAGCGGCAGGCTGGTTCCTGTCTCACAGCGCCAGCCTGCAGGGCATGCCCACCTCTCCCCCTGGGCTTCTGGTCCATGGGCATCCAAGGCCAGTGTGGCTCTGGAAAGGGTAGTTCTAGGAGAGGCCAGGCCCATGCAGGGCTGTAGCAGGGGGAGGGGAAGCCTGTCTAATTAGAGCCTCAAATGCTCCTTTGAAAGCGTTTTCTGATTGATGTCCCCAGCCCTGCGGGCGGGGGCGGGGGGGGGCGGTGTAATAATAATAATAAAACAACATTTGCATAGGGATTTCGTTTACAAAGCACTTTCTCAGGGGTGGGAGGCCCTGTAGGGGCCGTGGAATCCTGGCGGGGAGGCGGCCCTGGCCTTGGGTTGGTTCCACCCTCCAGCCCAGCCTGCAGAGTGCGGGGTAAACAAAGCCCTATTCATCCAACTGTTTCCGATCCCCTGGCCTACGTTCCTTTCTCCCTCTCCCATGGAGAATTCACTTAGGGCTTGTCACTCAGGATAGAAAAGGGGCATCAGGAGTCCCAGAGGGAGGGGTGACTGGCACCCTGTGGGGCCTGTGCCCTCTGGCTCCACGCTCTGAATCAGAACACCTCCGCTGCGGTTGGCTTGGGCAACTCTCTGCTGCCCACGTTTGTGTCTTCATGCGCACGGTGTCAGCCCGGGTTTGTGGTGTCTGCAAATGCTGCGTGCATTGGATGACATGCAGAGATAAGCAGGTGCGGGTCTTTGCTAATCCCTTCCCACCTGAGTGGGAAGTGAGACTAAGGCACACAGTAGAGGGCCCTGGGGCCACTGCCCCTGCAGGGGTGGGAGGGCTGAGGCAGCTGGGTCCCCCTCCTGTACCACCCGGCTAGAGATCACTGGCACTTAGCTGCCAACCGGCACCCTTGGAGTGGGGGGCGCACCAGGCCCGGGCCCCTTAAGGGCTGATGAGCTATATAGGGTCCACCTGTAGGGCCCTCGCAACCTGCAGCAGGCCCAGCAGGAGACAGAAGATGGAGGAGGTCATTGCCGGGTTGGAGCGCCTCACCTTCGCCTTCGAGCGGGATGTGGAGCTGCAGAGAGGCACTGGGCTCCTGCCTTTCCAGGGCATGGACAGTGAGTGAGGGCAGCCCCCTCTGCAGGACTCTGCTCAGCTCCTCACGGGGGGCCCCTTAGCTCTGGCTCTGGGTAACCCGTTTTCCAGATTGAGAGAGGCGGAGAGGTGACTCCACAGGAGGGCCCTGGCCTCCCAGTCTTTCAGGCTGCTCTGAGGCCCCTCCATCTCCTGTTTCAGAGCTGGGGCTTTAAGTTGAGGCTTGGAGGCTGGTCTGGAGGCTTCCAAAGGGCTGGAACTTGAGGGCTCACAGGCTCGAGCCTAGGGGCCGTTTAGGTGGCCCTCGGTGGCGGAGAGGGTGAAGGTCCCCACGCCCACAGCTGCAGGTAAGCTGTCTTCTCCTCTCCCTTCCCCCAGAGTCGGCCTCAGCCATGTGCGTCTTCTTCGCTAAAGGGCTCTGTGGGAAAGGTGAGCTGGGGCAGGTCTGGGTTGGGCAGGAGCGGGGGCGAGCGGGGCCACACTGGGCTTGGTGGGGGCTCTGCCTGGTGGGGTAGGAAGTCCACTGTGCCCCATGGGGTGGAGAAACTGGGAGAGGGCAGAATTTGGTCTTTTTTTTTTTTTTTTTTTTTTTGGTGCTGGGGATTGAACCCAGGGCCTTGTGCACACTACCAACTGCGCTACATTCCCAGGCCCAGAATTTGGTCTTATAGTAGGCCAGCCACAAGTGCGTGGGTAAACCGAGCAGCCTGCGGGCTCCTGCATTTGTGTCCGGGTGTCCAGGGCTGCCTGGAAGGGCTCTCCCTTCTTCCTGCCTGTGTGGGTGTTCCTGGGCTTCTGCCTGGGTGTCCAGGAGGTTCAGGCCTCCTTGTTCTCTCCTTCTAGTCAGTGTAGAAACTGGTCAAGTGCCCCAACTACACCTGATGACTTCTGGTAGCTCTGGCCACCATCTTTGAAACGCTACAAAAATCAGCCACCACTTCTGTCCCACCCAGCCTGTGGATCAAGCCGTGCCCACTTCCTTAGCCCCTCCCCCAAACGCAGCCTTCTGGGGAGGCCTGACTTGCCCACGGGGGCTCCTGACTCCTCTTCTGGTTCATGGGCCACTCTGAAGCTCTTCCCATAGAAACAAGCAGTTGCCCCCAAATCTTGCCTCCAGTTTTAAGGGTTCCCAGGCTTCCTGGAGTCTGCCTATTGATCTAGGCCAAGAAATTCTTCATGAATTGGACCTGTTTAGGGGATCCCTGTGATTCTGTCCTAGGAAGCTGGGAGGCTGGAGGGGCCCTGGCAGGGAGGCCCCAAAGCCATATTTGCTCACCTGCCTTGTTTGTGGCCCTGGACAGTGTGGGTCGAGAAGGGAAATGGGCTCACTGGTCACCCAGGCCTCTGTGGGTCCACCAAGGACTGAGTGACCAGTGGCTGGCAGTGACACCCTCTCTCCAAGAAATAAAGTGATTACTGTGGACTGTCAGACCAAGCATGTCAATGGCCAGGGGTGGAGGAAAGGGGACTTGAAGAGAACACCTTTCCTGTCCCCAAGATTCCTTCAGAGTTGGCCATGCATGAGGCTGGCCCTTCTTAGAGGGTTAGGAACCAGGGTGTCTTTCTGCCTGGGAGATGCCACCTTGGGAGGAAGATGAGGAAATAGATGTAACATTTCCAAAGTTGGCTCTTAAATGGCCACATTTTTCCAGAATCAGGAAGCTGAATGCGTTTTTCAGAGACGTGAGTTCAGTAGGCCCTCAATGAAGACTTGCTATGTGCCAGGGCGGGCTGGGTGTGGGCCTCCAGGGCTATTCTCTGGTATTAGGAGAGGGGTTCATGTTGGGGTGTGAGGGAGGCAGCTGTCCCAGGCCTGGGGCTTCCTGAGGTTTGCCGCAGAAAGTGTGCCAGGCAGAGGCGTGAAGTGGGAACTGCCTTGCTCAGACAGCTTGCCCTGCGTGGCACCTTGGCGCTGTTCTAGTCCCTCCCAGGGTCCAGGTGGGATGCAGGAGGGCAGCTAGGGACAAGCCCCGAACCCCTTAGGGAATGCCTCTGAGGCTGAGGCGGGCCAGCTGTGGGCAGGTGGGAGCCTCGAAGTGGCACACTGGTGTCTGCAGGGAAGCTCTGCCCCTTCCGGCATGAGCAGGGTGAGAAGATGGTGGTGTGCAAGCACTGGCTGCGCGGGCTCTGCAAGAAGGGCGACCACTGCAGGTTCCTGCACCAGTACGACGTCACCAGGATGCCCAGGTGCTACTTCTACTCCAAGTTCGGTAATGCCTTGGCCTGGCTCAGCCCCCCACCCTGGAGGGTGATGGGGGTGGGGTGAGTGGGAAGGAAGTAGGTTGGGGGGCAGGGCACCCACAGGGGCCAGGTGTGTCCCAGGAGACCAGCCAGGGCTGTCTGAGCCCCAGGTGCGTCTGCTTCCCCACAGCCTCAGACAACTGCAGCCTGCCACCCTGCCCTTGCCTGCCCTCACCTGTCCCCACCCAAGGGGACAGCGGCATTATTTCCCTCCCCAGTCCTGCCTGGCTAATGCACACCCAGGCTGACTGGGAGTAAGTCTCTAGGGAGCCATCCCCGACCAGGACTCCCCAAGCAGAGGCACAGTCACGGTGCTTACCACACCCACAGGCACCGCACCGTCGCCCTCTCTCAACCAGCTTGTGACTTCCAGCTCTTACTTTAGAAGAGAAACAAAACAAAACAAAAAACCTTTGTGTTACTTCCATAAATGGAAAACTAGCATGACGTGTCAGAAATAAAAGGCAACCGTAAACATAAAGCCTGAGGTTCGGAAGTCTGGGCCCTGAAATTATCTTGTGTGGTCAGGCCTGCTCCGGCATCTCACCTTCCTCCTGGCCTCAGTCCTTCTTTGGTCATCGAAGGGCTCTTTAGGGGGAAACCGCAGCCCCCTCCATCAGCCTGCTTCAGAGCCTGCCCTTCCCAGCAGCACCGTAGCTCAGTACTTTCCTGAGCAGGAAGATCATCCTTTAGGATGATCTAATTCAGTGGGTTTCAAACTGTGTTCCAAAGAGAGCGGCCAGCAGAGAGAGCTGTGTTGCGCACCCCTCGTTTAGGAGGCTCAGGGCCAGCTTCAGGCCACTTATGTGCGTAGCCATTCCCTGCAGGCTGATGGTAAGGCTCCTCCCAGGCCAGTATTCCACTCCCAGAAGGTGAGGGCCACCCAGTTCACAAGGACTGCCTGCATATCATTCTGGAAAGACAGGAATTTATCTGGGAGTCTGGGTGCCCCTGGTCATTGCCTAAGGCTTTATCATTTTAAAATGTCACTTATGCATTCTCTCAATAATCCACGGTAGATTTCACTTGGGGATTAGACACTGTACTGTGCATGGAAACAGGAATAGGACCCAGTCCCTTTCTGCCCATCAATAACTAATTATAGGGAAGAGACATTTAAACTCATGACTGCTGTAAGTAATCTATGGTTTTGTTCTTAGAGTAAATGAATATCTCTAATATTGTATCAAAGTAATTATCATTATTCTTGGATATAAAGATTTTTAAAAATACTGCTAAGGGAGCGTGAGGGTCTAGGATATCCCAGGTCTTCCCAAACTCCTGGGACAAGTGACCCAGGTGTATTCTGAGAAGCCAAATGGAGACTACGCTGCTGCTGCCACCTGCTGGCCATGCTCAGGATGCAGCGTCGTGAAAGACCACACCATCCCCCAAACCCTTTTGTTTCCTTCTAGCAAATGTTGGCCAGACTTGGGGGTGAGGTCACTCCATGTCCTTAGAAGGTTGAAGCCCAGGATCAGCACTCTACCTGGTGATGTGCACTGACCATGGGCAAATAAGCCCCTCCTCACTGTGAAGAACCTGGGTGAAAATAGACATGCTTTGGCCCTCTGTGAGCACTGGTGTCCACCTTTGTGAAATGAGAGAGCCGGAGTCTAAAACTCTCCAGATTCAGGGGCACTCTCGTTTCTAGGTGAAATCTTGCTTCGCCCACTGTGTAAAACGGATCTCTTTGGAGCCGTCTGAAAATTGGAATAGACACTGTGAATGAAGTTCCCTTCAGCTCTGAAAAGCACTGGGTTGCAGTGTCCCCCCACCCCGCAGTGGTACATTGGGAGCATTTACACATACATACTTGGAAGGAGGTGAGAATGGGTTGAATCTTCCTCCACAGATCTTCCTTCCTGAGCAAAGCCCCAGAGGGCTTTTACAGTGACTCCTGGACTTTTACAATGCCTCAGGGCTGGTGGCTTTGAGGAGACAAATTAAACGAGAGACCTGGTCCAATCTGCCCACAGGCTTGGTGGAAGCAGCACTCGGCTCTTGGCATTTCCACCCCAAGGAGCTGCCCCTGGCTCTGGAGGCAGCATAGGTTCCTTGGTGAAGGCGAAGAGAGGGCAATTTCTCCACCCAAAGTTCTTCTCGGGTCTCCTGCCACTTACCCCGCATCAACTCTTTCTCCCTCCCTGCTATTTCCTAAGTGCCTTCGGTCCCGGGCTCCTCTGGACCCCGGCCCTACTCATCCCTCTGGATGTGTGTATTCACACCCATCCTGCTAAGCAGACCTTGTAGGATCCACTCTTCTTAGACTGCAGGAAGGATTAGGATTAGAAATATCTTGTCTTCAAACAGCTGCTGCTGACCAGTATATAAAAGCCAGCAGGCTTATGTGAGGGCCAAGGTCAGTGTGGCTGGCGAGGTGGGAGACCACGAGGACGAGCCTGCTTGTCCACCAGGAGTGCTGGAATTTTCAGGTGACTGCCACAACAAGGAGTGCACCTTCCTCCACGTGAAGCCAGCTTCCAAGTCCCAGGACTGCCCTTGGTATGACCAAGGCTTCTGCAGGGATGGTGAGGCCTTGAGGGACAGGGACACGGGATGGGGTCTGGGTTGGGCTCTCCACAGGGCAGGGGCCCGACCGCCCATGAGACAGCACTGCTGAAATCTCAGCAGAAGGCCCCCCAGTAGCTATCCCCCAGCTTGTGCTCCAGGGGAGGGACCCGCTGTGAAGTGCAGCCACAGGCTTCTCGGGGAAGGCTGACTGGGGTTCAATCCTACCTGCAGCACATTATTGGCTGCGAGACTTTGTACAAAGCAGTTTAGCCATGGAAAGCCTGGCACAGAGAGACTCTGTGTGTTCTTCTCACACCACTGGTCCACATCCCAGCCCTCAGCTGAAAAGTATGACCCACATCCATGTAATCCCAGAAGTCACAGCAACACTTCCCACCCTACCTATTTCAGGACTTGCCAGCTGACACCTGCCCCAACCCACACTGTGGTTCCTGTGCCCCATCTCAGGATGGCTGGAACTGAGTGCTTCGGGGCAGAACAGAAAGAACCAAATTTATGCATCCTGATCAAGTGGAGGAGTCTAGAACTGCACATACCCTTGCCTGGGAGCTGTTTTGTGTGTCTCTCCCCTCTGGCTAAAGCAGATCTTTCTGGCTGGTTTCTCTTTGCCCAGCAGGTCCCCGGTGTAAATACCGCCATGTCCCCCGGATAATGTGTCTCAACTATTTCATTGGCTTCTGCCCTGAAGGACCCAAGTGCCAATTTACCCAGTACGTAAGATCTCTTGATTTCCAACCACCCCACAGAGTGCAGGCCTGGCTTTCTGGGTCTAGACCCTCGGTTCCTCCGCTGGCTGGCATCGGAAGATTAGACGCCTGGCAAGTGTCTACCTGCTGGGTTTTCTTGGCATTGCCACCCAACCCTGGAGGTCTCGGTGGCTGATGCGCTCTTGCACACCTTGCTAATGTGTGCTCTTGGCTGGGGACCAAAGTAGACCTCGCTACACTGTTCTAGGAATGAGTACAACATTTATTGCCCATTCCCCCAGGCTCTGCAGTTCTCGCCCTTGCTCCCTGGCCAGGGTGAGGGACCCTTCCCTAGGGAGCCCTGAGATAGAATCTGCAGCAGGCTGGTGCAGGGAATGTGATGAGATGAGAGCAGATGGGAGGTTAGAGCAAGACTGTCATCTCTCCCTCTCTCCACTTCCTCCAGCCCCAAGATGAACCTCGAATTCAACCCGAGTTACACGAAGGTGAGTGTGGGCAGGCGGGGTGCCTGTGTCTCCCCCTCACTCTGCTCCCCAGTGCTGCCCTGTTTCAAGGGACCCTCACTCCCTCCTGTGATCGACGGGACCCAATCCTGTGGAAGGCACGTGTGGTCATGTATGAGGGGCACCTTCATGGGGTGGCTTCTCCCAGAACCTGCCGACCTCTAGATCCCCTGTGTTGGGTACACCACAGCCTGGGCTTTCCTCTTCCTTAGCTGGATAACTCAAGGGGGCTTTTTGTTACAGAAAATGGGGCCTGGCTCACGACTTGGGGCCCAGAGTCAGTTTTCTGAATCAAGGCCATCCCTGATTCAGGAACGTGCCTGGTGTCTAGGGACACAGTCTCCATATTGATTCCAAGAGAGGGCACACACCCTGTCAAGGGTCGGCCAGCTCCAGCCTGTGGCCCCTGCCAGCCAGCTGCTGCTGCTTGTTCCACAGCTGGGAGTGTTTTTAAAGAAGGTTGGGGAAAAAACAAAAGAATATTTTGTGATGTGTGAAAATGATCATTTAGTGCCTGTGAGCGCTTCCACACTCACACACCGTCTCCTAGGGTTTGACTCTGGGGGTCCCCAGCAAAGAGGAGGAAGTCTCATTTCTGCATGAGGCAGTGTGGGAGGCGGGGCTGGCAGTTACTTGAACCAGGGGAGGTGGGGACAGAATGGCTTAATGCCTTCTCCCAGGAGGGAGTTCCTGTTCTCAGGGTTGGATTAGTTATGGGAAAGCACTTTGTTTCAAAGTGAGTCTGGCTTCCTCTCCAGCACACCTGCTTGTCCTTCTGCTTTTCTGCCATGTGTGGAACAGCACAAGGCCCTCTCCAAAGGCCAAGCAGACCTGGCCAACCGATCTTGAACTTCCAGCCTCTAGAACTGTGGGCTAAATAAGTTATCGATTCTCAGGTGTTCTGTTATAGCAGCAGGTAACAGCCTAAGGCAGAAATGTTTCCGTGTGCTCTCTGGCTGTTCTGGGGCTTACAGTGGGAAGGGGTTGCAGCAGAGACCTGATGGGCTGGGGTCTGAATGTTTACTATTTGGTCTATTGGAAGTTTGTTGACCCCTGGTTTAGGTGGCTGAATGTTGGACTGCCACCTAAGTTTAACAAGCAGGTGCAACTGGAGGCAGTTTCTGAGCTGTATGGGAAGGCAGCTTCCTGCCAGTTCTGAGCAAGACTCCTGACAGGAAACAGGACAGTCTGTGACAACTCTGGGGAATTGTAACACTGGGGAAGTACAATTTCTAACTTATCAAAGGCATGCTTTCTGCACTTAAAAGTGCAAATAAAGGCATTTGGAGACCTGGTTTGATATCAAATGCCAGCACCCTGGCCTGCGTGTAGTAGCTGTCTGCACACGGGGTCTCTGCAGTAGGTGTCTCCTAGTGACCTCACTCTCTCTGCAGCTTGTCAGGCCACGGGACTCAGCTCCTCCTGATTCTGGTGTGGAATCCCACAAGCCCCCTTCACCAACTCCGGGCTCAAAAGCAGGGCCTGTGCTACAGGTGAGTGAGGAGTGGACACGCGGGGCTGAAGCTCTGTTTTGCTGAGGGCCAGGAGGGGATGGCCAGTTAGCTGGAGAATGAGACTCCTTGTCTGCGACAGACATAAAGCCATATTGGGGCTTAGAATGTGAATCAAGAGAATGGGGGGCGAGGAATCGGTAAACCATGTTATGATGTGGAGTTTCGACAACTTCATCCTAGCTGCATCTCCCATCAGACACGACTATTTGTTTTAAAGGCCAATTTGTGCCAGGTATGGTGGCAAACACCTGTGATCCCAGCAACATGGGAAGCTCAGGTAGGAGGCTCACAAGTTGGGAGGCCAGCCTTGGCAACTTAGGGAGACCCTGTCAAAATTAAAAATAAAATGGGCTGGGGGTACAGCTCACTGTTAGCACCCCTGGGTTCAATTCCCACTACCAAAATAAATAAATAAATAAAAGGCTAAGCTGAACATCATTTATAGTTTGCTGTCTATTCACCCACTCATTCTCTTTGTTATTTACACACACTGATTTCCTTAAGATTTGTAGGTCAGGGATAGAGTTTGGTATAGAAGGAAACACAGCAAGTTGGTTTTCTTTTTTGCCAACTTATCAGGCAGGAAAAAAAAAATCCTATTTTTTTGGAACAGCTTCTAAATTGTCCTGAGCTGTGTTCTACAAAGTTACGCCAAATGACAGGCAGGAGAGGAGGAACGCTGGCTTCCTTGTACACTTGACTTTATGGGCCTTTCGAAGTCCAGAGCCCCATTCTCTGTGGGTGCGCGGCTGGCCTTGACTTTGTCTTTCAGCCCTGGAATGAGATAAGCTTTATTCATGAGCAGAATTTATTCTTCAGAAAGCAGCCATCTCCTATGGTTCCCTGGGCAATTTAGGGTTTTTCTCTTGAGAGATGAATTTTCCAGATGTCATGCAATTCACTTTTTCTTTTTCTAGTGTCGGAAAACAGGCCACGCTGCCGTGGGATGCGGTGAGACTTGGCCACTAGAGGCTCTGAAGAACCCGAGGCCTGGGGAACGGCAGATCCGGTGAAGGCACTCAAGAGCACGTGGTGGGATGCAGCTCATCACTTTTGGGGTGAGGCCAGCCCCAGCCTTGGGGCCGAGCCAGCCTGCCCTACGTGGGTGTGTCTTTCCATCCTGTGAACGAGCAGATAAAGCACCATGGCAGGACTGAGTATGTGCATGTGGAATCTAGAGCTCCCCTGAGCATGACTCTGCTCCCGAGCCCCCAGGTTCTGTGCACAAGGCACCCGCAAATAGCCTTGAGGCTGCTGTACACGTGATTAAACCCAATGGTTCTTTGGCATGAGAGCTGCTTCCCCGTGCGGCTTATTTTTTTTAAGTTGTAGATGGACACAATACCTTTGTTTATTGAACCCAAGTCTCACACAGCTATGCAAGCGCTCTGCCACTGAGCCCCAGCCCCAGTTCCCCTGTGCAGCTTCCTTTAAGGGGAATGCATTCTGTGCCTTCTGTGGGGGCTCCAGGCAGGAGATGGTACACAAAAGGCTTGTCCTGGCGAGGTAAGGAAGTGACAAGGAATGCTCACTGTAATGCTGTTTTTACTGTTATAATGAAAAAATGCCATTCGTTCCATTGGGAAAGAAAGGTGGCAGCTAAGTTGACTTTTGAAGGGACAGAGAGGAAGACAGCAATGGTAGGGGGCGTGAGATAGTCTTCCCCACCTTTAGGAGGCGAGTGGCAGGTGGGGTGAAGGTGGTGTGAGGGTGCAGGGGTCAGGCCTAGGGGTTTGGATGTCAGCTGGAGCCACCCAGGGCTGCTAACGTGGAAAGAGCGCCTCTCCACCAACAAATCCCTTGTTCTGGAATGTGTGTCAGCACACATCGCAGGCTGTTGTGAGGATGAGGACACCTGCTCGGCCCCCTGCCTAGGTGCAGGGCTTTGGGTCAGCTGCTGAGTTCCCACTCTGTCACCTGTGGCTGGAAGGAACAGATGTGCCGAGCCTCTGCAAGGAAGGAAGGCTCTCCCCAATTTACAGTCCAAAGGAAGCACCAGGAAGCTGGTCAATCTGCCCAGCTGTGAGATTGTGCAGAAGGCGACTGACCAGCATTGTTTATTTTATAAAAGCAAAAAGAGTAGTGACCTTAGTATGTGAGTTTCCACAAAGTACAGAAGAGCCTGTGGATAATACAACAAAGTGCTTTTATTTTTATATTTTGTGGTGCTGGGGACCACACCCCAGGTTTCACACATGCCAAGCCCATGCTGTAGCACTGCTACATCCTGGGCCCTGGAAATGATTTTATGTATTATTTAAAAAAAATTTATTTAGTAGTTGTAGATTAACAGAATGTCTTTATTTTTTTATTTTTATGTGGTGCTAAGTATCGAATCCAGTAGCCCACACATGCTAGGCAAGTGTTTTGCCACAGAGCCACATCTCCATGATTTATTTTATTTTTTTGGGGGGTACCAGGGATTGAACTCAAGGATACTCAACCACTGAGCCACATCCCCAGCCCTATTTTGTGTTTTATTTAGAGACAGGGTCTCACTGAGCTGCTTAGCACCTCACTGTTACTGAGGCTGGCTTTGAACTTGTGATCCTCCTGTCTTAGCCTCCTGAGCTGCTGGGATTACAGGTGTGCACCACCACGCCCAGCCCATCGTTTTATTTTTAACAGAAAAAAAAAATGTAGTTTTTTTAGGTATTTTAGGTGTGACTTAGGATTCAACAAGAGCCAGTACCCGTCTTCATGGCCTCACACAGGTGCTCAGCAAGCTGCATTCCCACCTTCAGCCTGGGCATGCTGCGGCTCCCATGCAGGCTGTGGCGGGACTGGTCTGCCTGTAGGAGGCTCAGGGTGACTTTCCAGAGTTCCTGCTCTGCCCTGCCAGCTGGGCGCTGCGGCTCACCCAGGGAGGCTCCTGCCAGTGCTGTAGAAGAGGCAGCACACAAAGAGGCTGTTTGATAAGGTAAATCACGTTAAAGCCATCGTTCGTCTTCACGGGGCTTTAAAAGAGATGGGTAGTCACCCCCTGTGACCACCAGGAAGCACTCTGGTTTCTCCAGGTAGCAGAGTCTCACTCTCCACTGTTCCAGTTCTGAAAATCTCCTCTCTGTGGATGAAGCTTTAACCTGCCAGATCACATGTGTGACTAGGGCTGGCTAGCAGGGGCAGCCTGGTGGATGTCTGTACAGAGGAACCAAAACACCTACCCTCACACCGCCAAGTATAGGTCCACACTGCCACCTGCAGCTAATCTGTGTGTCCCTTGGTTACGCTGTCTGTTTAGATCCAAACCTAAGAAGCACACGGTCATCAACTTCTTTCTACAATGCTTATTAAACCATAAGATTCCCTTTCAGGACTCATCGAAAGGTCTACATTATTTTCCCAGCCTAGAAGCCATCAGGGAGCAGATGAGGAAGACTTTCTCTCCCTATAAGGGGAGTAACAAGTGCTACATGGAGACACTCCAGGGCCTTCTTTAAAACCACCCATGTTTATTTAAGAATCAATTCTATCTAGTTCAAAGAAATCAGATAACACAGTTTGCTCTTTGTGGCTACATTGAGTTAAGATTCTTCTTTTATCTTATTTATTGGTACTAGGCATAGAACCCAGGAGCACTTAACCACTTAGCCACATCCCTCACCCTTTTTATTTTTTGAGACAGGGTCTTGGCAAGTTGCTTAGGGCCTCACTGAGTTGCTGAGGCTGGCTCTGATCTTGACTCAGTCTCCAAAGCTGCTGGGATTTCAGGTGCATACCTCCTTGCCTGGTGAGTTAGAATTCTTGATGCTGACCAGTGTCAAACAGAAAGACCTCATATTAACATAGGTAAACTAAATCATGTTAAAGCCATTGTTCGTCTTCACGGGGCTTTAACCCTTTTGGACCAATGGGTTGTGAAATAGTTTCTTCTCATTAAGGAACTCATTTTTAGGAATGTAAGATATTTGCTGTGATTAACTTTTTCATTAATGCTTCAGCATTCTGACTGCAAATGATACTAGCTTATTTAGTGAGGTCGATGTTCTGGATAAGAATCTTGGGGAGTGACATGCTGCCCTTGGGCTACCTCTGCGCCTGGGTGTGACGGGTGGCCCCAGGGGCAGAACACGGCCCTATGGCACTAGAGCCAACTCAAGATAGGCTTCTTCTGTTGAACTGTTTCCTAGCCTAGGTGTCGAGAGCAGGGATTCCTGGCTCCCGTCCCTCCAGCAAAGAGGTCAGGTGCTGTGCTCTCTAGGGTAGGGGTCGGCACACTCTGTAAAGGGCCGTACAGTAAATATTTTCACTTTTGGGGGCACATTGATCTTGCTGCTACTATTTAATTTTGCTGCTATGTGAAATAGCCAGAGGTAATCCCTAACTAAACGAGGGGCTTCACTTAAAGGCACTGGCTGATCTGAGTTAGGGCTGCAGGAGTCTGTTGTTCCTGCTGAGGGATCAGGAAAAGAGGGCAGTGTAGTTTCTGACCTTGTGGACAAAGAGGAGGTGTGCAAGGGATTCCCGTGTTTCATTAAAGGGAGATTAAGGAGAGACACGAGGCCCTTTCTAAAGAGAGACTGTTCTGGGGCTCAAGTGAGTTTGGGCACCCTCTTATCCTCGACTGTGACCTTTCCTTGTGGAGAATTCTGGTTTATGGAACCACCCTTCTGAGTACCTTTTCCTTAACTATGAGAATTTGCAGCAGAATTAAATCTAAGCCACTTGAGGGAGGATGAAGCAGACTGAGAGTCCAAGTTCTGAGGAGAGAAAGAAAGCAATGAGCACACATACATACTGGCCCGGGAGAGCAAGCCTGCTCTTGCATGGCTGTGCAGGAGCTGGGGAAAGGGCCTGACCTCTGTGTCTTGCACGAGGATGTCACAAGCAAAGCCGAGAGAGGGAGGTATGCATAGCCTGGGCAGTGTGCGAGGCCAGCTGGCTTGTGCTGTAGTGGGTTGGAGAAATGGCTTCCCACTTGCACCGCCTCATCCCTGTCTGCAGATACCCACGTTACTGTCGGGGATTGAACAATTGGACATTGAGTATTTTCCCCCTGTACTCGGGCTTGAACCCAGGGGCACACTACCCCTGAGCAGAGCCCTTTTACTTGCTGTCAGGGCTGCCTGGGATGTCCGATCCTCCTGCCTCAGGCTCCCCAGTAGCTGGGGTCACAGCGGGCGCCACTGCACTGGCTCCACTCAGTACTCTGATGAGGGGAAGAGGCCCAGAAAACCCACCAGCCCAGGCTAACACTAACAAATGGAAAGGGCTGTCTGTCATTCACAGGTGCTTGGGAAGGGGTGGGGTGGGATTCTGAAGTTCCCAGGAAGAGATAATAAAAGGAGATCCGTGCTCACTGCCACACTTGCTGAAAATGCACAAAGGTACCTTAACATTCTGTTGGTTTGCTATTTTTAGTCAGCTTAGGAAGCATTTGCAGGAGTATTTAAGTGCCCTTTCCACAGACTCCCTGCCACTCAGACCCCAGCCTCTGTACATTTCTCTCACCTGCCAAGGTCTGCTCAGGGCCCAGAGGCTCAAAGGGCAAGGGCCTCCATGTAAGCTTATTTTCTGCCAATTTGGACAGTGTCATTTATTAGTACATAGGGAGTCTCTAGTATCTCCCATAAACAAATGGCAAAACACCAAGGTTTAGAGAACAACTTTAGGGAGAAATTTAAACCGGAGATACAGCTTTTTAATGAAAACTGAGAAGTAGCGTCTTAATTTAAATGACCTACTTTTTCATCTTCACATCATTTTGAATAACAATTTCATGATTAAACAAAAAATGGTCTTTTAAGTAATTCAGTCACTTTTGAAAGCAAGCCAAAGAAACCTCAGACAGAACCAGATCATCTACCTTAATAAAATGCGCTTTCCACGACTGTTTTAGATTCCAGTGACTTTATTCTCTGACTCCCCCTCCTGCTGCGTAGGCATCGCACGGCTCCTGAGGCTCCAGACTCTGGCTTCAGTGGTGTCCAGTGAAGGTTACTTACGCCAGCGCTGCAGCTCTTTGGACAAGCAGAGATAAATGTAAGGACCCAAGAGGCCACCTCTATGGATGGCTTCTTATGCCTCCACAGATCATTCCGTTCTTATTTTACAAATATGGGAATAGTCTTGGACAAAGAGAAGTTTTTGCTTCATGTTCTCAACTTTGATTTTGACAGGTGACAAACATCACATCTACCAAACATCTAACTAATCCCTTTCAAGGGGCACAACTGTAGGGAAGCCTTTTTTCTCTGGGAGGAAGGACTTGCTTTTGGATCTCCTCACTTAACTTCTTATTGATGGTCTGGGGTCTCAGATGGGCTGGCAGCTCTGCCCCACCAGTCAGCACATGGGGGGGCACGGCCTACTCCTGAGGCATGGCCTGTCCCTTTACCTAGCCCCAAACATTCAATCAGATTCAAATCCTGACTTTTTAAAACAAGAAGTTCTGATGGGAACAGTGGCGCATGCCTGTAATCCAGCGGCTCGGGAGGCTGAGGCAGGAGGATAGTGAGTTCAAAGCCAGCCTCAGCCAAAGCAAGACGCTAAGCCACTCAGTGAGACCCTGTCTTTAATAAAATACAAAATAGGGTTGGGGATGTGGCTCCGTGGTCGAGTGTTTGAGTTCAATCCTCAGTACCCCCCCATCCCCCAAAAAACAAAAAAAAACAAAAAGAAATCCTGTTATCCAGTTTGTGAATATGTTGGCCTTTAGTATACAATATTATCTTACTTTTATACTGAAAGCTTTCATTTGAAAGTGTCATTTTTTTTTTTTTCTAAACTGTGGGAAAATACTGCACTTTCCTGATAGCTTTCTATAATGTCCTCTTTTAAACTATAAGAATCTGTTTTTAGGCTGGGTGCAGAGGCACACACCTATAATTCCAACCATTTGAGATGCTGAGGCAGAAGGATTACAAGTTCAAGGCAACTTAGCAAAACTATCTCAAAATAAAAACAAAAAGGGCTTACGATATAACTCAGTGGTATAGCACTCTTGGGTTCAATCCCTAACAATATCCCTGTACCATAAACAACAAAACCCCCTATTTTTATAGAATAATACTTTAAAAGGGGAATGAAATTCTGGTATTTTCCTTCTGGTTAAGACTTGGTGCAGCTGAATCTCATAACTAGAGTGAAAGTTGTGTCCTCGTCCCTTCCTCTCTTTTGGGGCAGAAAGCTGTTTCGTTTCAGTGCTAAAAAGGAGCTCGTAGGTACCAAGGAAAGTGCCTTTCCTTTAGCAGGAAACAGCTTAAAGGAGAAAAACACGACCATCAGACATCCAGTGACCACATTAAATAGTGGACAAGAGCAATTATGTGAATTCTGGTCAAATCTCATACATGCCATTATAAACAAAACCTCTAATAAAAACTGCCAACACCCAGGCAATAGCTCATTCACTAGGTGTCCTTGATATGAAAAGCCATTTGGAGAATCCCCGGCCCTCGCTACAATGGGATGTGACTTGTCATTTTGCTAAAACTGCAGAAAGGCTTACTCAGATGCTGGAAGCTCCAGCTACAGCAGAGGATGAAGTACCCCGTGAAGAGCATAGTGATGCCACCAATCCCACTCTTCTTCACCGTGGTGTTGCACCTGATCCAGCCTGCGCAGAGAGAAACGCATCTGTCACCCTGAGCCAGAACCACAGCATTACCTACGCGTTCATCAAGTTACCCATTAGTGCAGGTGATGGAACCTACACAGGTGAATATAATATAGACATGAACCTTATCAGATGAAAAGGCTAAAATATAAAAGACTTTAATAAATTCCAACCACTTATTCTTGTGTTTGGGATTGGTTAACATCTTTAAAGGGGCGGGGACCAATGTGACTGGTTAACCTGAGGGTAGTGTCTTTCTGATCTTGGAAGGAGGCTCAGTCACTGTGGGCAAGGGAGGTGGGGACAGGTGGCAGCATGAGGAAGGGCAGGGTTAATAACTGGCTGCTGCTGCTGCAGAGCTTTGGTGCTTGCCATGTGTCCAACTCCAAAATGAAAATGACGAACAGATGACAGCCATGATTTTTCCTTTTCCTCTCCTTGCTTTATAGCAAGTAAGAACACCTGAAGCCAGCAATGGACCCCAACAGTTAAAAGCTCCAGCCTCACCTTTGTGCACAGCTCCCAAGAGCCTCCTCAGAGGAAAGCTGGAGGTGGTAAGCCTGGCCGGGGGCTCCAAACTCCTTAAACCAGTCGAACTTCTTCCCAACAAAGGAACTACGGTTCCAAACAGAAGTCACTGTGATAGTTGGTCTAGATTCGCCCCTTCCCCAACATTCAGTGTCAAAGGTTCCCAGAGCTAGCCCTCAGAAAAGCTCACTCATACAAGTGCATGAGTGAGCTCCGCACTGGACTGTAGGCAAGTGTTGAAAGTCAAATTTATTCCAGGTCAAAGAAAGTATTTTCAGAAGGCCGAGGAACTCCCTGGCAATCAGGACCTTATAATTATTTTTGACTGATGAATATACTGTCCAGATAATCCACATACACATGCTTAACCAAATGAACTACTTGTTAAGTTCTACCAGCTGCTGAACTAATTTTAGCAAAGAGTATGATTTTCAACTATAAGTTGAATATTCCTTACCTGGAATGCTGGGGTATGCAGAATTACTTTCAATTTTTCAAAATCAGAAATATATGCATATATAATGAGATATTTTTGGGACGGAACCAAGATCTAAATGCAAAATTCTTATTTTTTGGGGGTGCTGGGGATGGAACCCAGGGCCTTACTGCAAGCGAAGCATCAAATGACCACTGAGCTCCAACCCTACCCCTGAAATTCATTATCCACACAGTTTGAATGTACCTGTTTTTTTTTTTTTTTTTTCTGGATATGCTGAGACTGAACTTGAGGTCTCACAGTTGGTAGGTGCTCAACTCATGTTGGCATTCAAAAAGCTTCAGATTTTAGAGCACTGCTTTCTACAGCTAATATGCCTCTACTCCCCACTGCTCTTATTGGCTAGCCAACCTTTCTGCATGTCTGACATGAGAAAAATCAGCAAAGGTGGCTGTTGTTAACATTTTCTGCACCTGTTTTTCTCCATGTTTAATGATAGGTAATTTCTACTTGGTTTGGCTCATCAGAAGAAAGGATACATTGAGCAAATAATGCTGACAGATTTAGTAGGTGTGGTAAAGTTGCTGTGGATGTAAAAATATTAATCAAATGATTGTTACATTAACTTCTGAGAAATTATACAGATGGTTTTCCTGCAATGTGAAAGTTAGTCTCCTAAAAAACAAAAGCCTGGCTGGGTGTGGCAGCACACACTTCTTATCCCAGTAACTCAGGAGGCTGAGGCAAGAGGATTGTCAAGTTCAAGGCCAGCCTCAGCAACTTTAAAAGACCTGTCTCAAATAAATAAATAAATAAATAAAAGGTGAAAGGTTGGGGAGCTCATGGGTAAGGTGTTCCTGAGTTAAATCGCTAGTCTTTAAATAAATAAGTGTTAGTGTTGTAGCTCAGTGGCAGAGCACTCCTGGGTTCAAAATTCCCTTTGTAGTAAGTCCATGAAAACTCTTCTGGCTAAGCCTCAGAAGATGACTGCAAATGATGCTATATCTTATTCCTGACCACATATGAGTAAGCTGCATGCTCAGAACGGCCAGTGTGCCCCAGCAGGTCCCGTTCTAGGCTACAACACATGCGTTTCTCTTAGCCAGGAGAACTTCTGGCTCTAGCCCATTTCATCAAAACGTCACGACGGTCTCTCATGCTCTCAGGCCTAGGGAGCCCTAACATCTGGTGTACCCAACTCAGGTCAGATGTACGAGAACTAGTTGCTGGACCACGTTTCCGGATGTGGGGAAGTAGATCGGACACAATCCTGAGGCCCACGGTCCAAGGAGAAGAAACGCTTCCTGGAAAAGCTTGGCAAATACCACCAGGGAACATTATGTGCCCATCATTAACTGGAAACTGATCTGGGAAGTGATTTTTCCTTTCTGAAACTCAGTTTCCTCATTTTCAGAAGGAGGTAACCCCAACCTTCTAGGGCAGCAAGACATCACCCGAGGCCTGTGCAGGCCTGCAGCATCATGCTTGACACACAGGGAACTCAATGACCGTGAGCTCCTTGGCCCTGCCTCTAGGATGGAAGCAGTGAGCTGGCTCCTAGAGGAAAGGCCAATGGCTTTCCCAAGGTCTTGCCCCAGCAAAGGAGGCCACGGCCTATTCCTTTCTGCAAGTTCATTTTTTTTTTTTTTTTGGAGGTGCTGGGGATTGAACCTAGGGCCTTGTGCATGCGAGGCAAGCACTCAACCAACTTAGCTGTATCCCCAGCCCTGCAAAGTTCAATTTTAATTTGCAGTCACTGCAGGTAGCTGTTGACTGGTAAAATTACAAAGCATTCTGAAGGGACAATGACATTACCTTTTAATCCCTTTTAATTCAGTGGCCTTGCTAAATAAGGTCTTGACGTTAACTGAGATCCTCAGGTCTCTGTCCCTAGTGAGTTTTGTTCACTTGGTGGCAGCATCTCAGTCTAAGCGTTAATCACTAGTATCTCAGTTACAGAAGTAGAGGCCCTGTAATAACCACACCCTATCATCTGATGCAGAAATACCAAGCTAAACACAGTAAGTACAACAAGAGATACCAGCCATGACTTACTACTTATTGTTGAAGGAAAAATCATATTTCATAACAAAATCATAACGTTTTAAGTTACAGAATTGCTTATTATTGTATCCTTGGGACCCACTGAAGTGAAATGACTCAGTTAATAACTCATGTTAAGCAAGATACTGACTACTAATGACCTCAAATAAAATAGTAAGCCTCAGGTAAGGTTAAGATCAGCCAGTCTGGATCTGACTCCTGACTGTTACTTATTGTAGGAATGAGATCAAGTCTCTTCACACATCCAAGGCTCAGGTCCCTCTTGTATAAGAGGGTGGAAACAATAACATCACCTCAGAACTTTCATGATATTAAACAAGAGGATATGTAATGTACCAGGCACAATGACACAGTCATCACTGATCAACAGTAGTCCCCTTTTCCTATAAAATGAAAAATGGATGTAACAGAGACACTCTTTAGCACTATAAATGATAAAGGAGGAAACAAAGGAGTCCTGTTTGTCAGAGGGATTTACATGGGGTGGGTGTCTACGTGTGCAAGTAAAACACAGTAAAGTCTGGAGCTGTGACTCGGGTTTCTCATGGCATGCTTTCTACAGTCTGTACGGCTGGAGGGATGAAGGAGGCTGCAGGAGACAGGTTCTAGTGCGATTCCACCACTTACTGGCAACATGACCTTGGACAAATCACTAATCCTCTCTGCCTGTTTTGTCCTTTGCAAAATAGAGAAGTACTCTAAAACTCAATCAACACAACTGTTAATGTAGCTAAATCTGTGTTAATGTGGAGAAGGAGCTTGACCTCCAGACAATGACAACTTCAGACAACTTCGTATCAAAGCTGAAGATGTTAAGGCCTGTTTAGCTCAGCAGCATACATGAGGCCCTGGCTTCAATCCCCAGCAAAGTATTAAAACAAAACAAAACAAAAAAAAGGATAATTAGAGGTCAGACAAGTAGCAGTTTAATGAATAAGTGATCATTTGCAAAATATACCAGAAAGGGGAAAAATATCTCCTTTTTGAGGAGGAAACATCAGTTTTACAGGGGCAAACCTATTCTGAGTTGTTACAGGTCTCCTATAAAGACAGCCTGAAAATACCAATGACCAAGACACAACGGAGAAGGATGCTACTTTATACCCCTAAAAAGTCTTACAGAAAAGGCTTCCTGGTGAGCACAATGACAAAGCTTTGTGTGGAGTAACTAGAGAGGTAGTTTAGTAATAAAGGTGAGGTCCTGCAGAGAAAGGCAAGGATACCTGAAATGGGTCAGGATCGCCCTGGCTCCCACTTGGGCCACCTCCACCCAACCTACCTAGACAGCTTCTTAAAGAGATGACAATCAAGGTCAGTTTCAATACCTGTGTCTCCTCCCAATCCTTCGGACCCCATCTTTCAGGTCTTGAGGCTCAACCGCTGGCTCTAATCTTGGCTCCTAAGCTCTGTGGCCCAGTTCTTCCAATGCACAGACTTCTACCCCCTTCCTGCCACATGCTCATTCCTGGTCCCTCATCTTCTTGGTCCATCTCAGTCTCCACTTCCAGCTATGTGACTCTACTGCCACTTCTCTGTCCAGTTTTAACCCCTTGTACCCCTAACTCCACAAACAGCTTCTGCTACTTCCTCTGCTATTCCAAACTTGCAGATGTTGCATTTGACTATAAACTTGGAATTTATTTTCTGTGCAACCTGGTCCTTACTGAATTTTAGACCCAGTGCTTGTTCTATTTAGGTGAATTCAGCAGTCTTTATTCATCCACTTTCTACCAGTCAAGCCTCTTCCTGATGCAGAAACTCAACTGCTCTAGAGTATCAGCTTGCCCTAATTCAATAGTCAGCCCTTGTGGGACAAACAGAGAATGATAAATCACTACTACTGACCCCTCCAGCAAGAAGTAATGTTCTCACAACCGTTAAGACCACCATCAAAGCTAAGCGTGGTGGCGCATGCCTGCAATCCCAGCAGCTCAGGAGGCTGAGGCAGGAGGACTGCAAGTTCAAAGCTAGCCACAGTAATAGCAAGGCACTTAGCAACTCAATGAGACCCTGTCTCTAAATAAAATACAAAATAGGGCTGGTGATGTGGCTCAGTGGTAGAGCACCCCTGAGTTTAATCCCTGGTACACCCCCAGAAAAAGAGATCACCACCAAGACTGTCTTAGTAAAAGCATGGTAGGCGGGCACTCCACCACTGAGCCCTAGCCCTAGTATTCTCTTCTATTTTAAAAAATACCAGATTTTGGGATGGGCTGGATGGCCCTTGAAAATGAGCTACTTTACCTTGTGAGACACTTTCTCCCTGAGGACTGGAGAGCTGGGGCTTCTGGGCCACTGAGTTCCAATACTGAGGCTTCCCCGGCAATACCCCTAGTCCAAGATAACCAGGATAGAGCTCTGGAAACCACTCCAACCCCATGGAGCTAGGAAGCCTCTTTCTTTCAGCAGTACCAAAATAACTGATTGAGGAGCTTTTAGAAAATGGATGCTGAGCTGCATGCAGAGACTGCGGGAACCCAGTGTACAATGCTGGGGGCCCACAGCCAAATCTGGGCTCCAGAATTCGTGCCTCAATCTCAGCTAATAACTTTACACCAGGAACTTGCTGATGATTGCAGAATTGTGCTTTCTCTTCTTGAAGAGATTTTATAGCCAGAGAAACAAGACTTTGATTATCTGACTTTGATGCAGAAAGAAACTCACTGTAAGCTACCTCCTGTGGAGTGAACAGAATTGGAAATGGACCTGCATCTTCCAACTTCCCCTCTGAGGCTGAAGCGCCAGTGTTAAAGTGCTCAGAGCCATGGCTCACGGAGGCCTGCTCCTGCACTTCTGTGGCAGACCCACTTCCCTCTGCATTCCCTTTGCTCCCACAGGCTTCTGCTCCAAGGCCAAGTCCTTTTCCTTGGTTCTCCTTGACTTGGATTTCACCTAACGGGCTAACATGAAGGCCCACAGTGGGTGATGCTGACTTCTTTTCCAGAGTCTCAGTGTCACCAGCGTCAGCAGAGGCTCCTGGGAGGCAACCTTTTCCTCTGGAATCTTTTTCTTTGCTCCACATGGATACTCTTAATCTTTGAACTCCTTTGCTCAGATTCCTTGGAGAACAATGATTATCAGCCATGGATACATCTATTAATTTAACTGGAAGCCCTTGTCTTTGGGGATCAATTGTGTCTGATTTCAGATTAACAGAAGTGGCTTGTACCTCATCAGGCAGGGCTGAGGAGTTTTTTCTATCTTGATTTGACAAAGAAAGTTCCACTGGGCCAACCAGTAAATCTGCTTCCATTTCTGAAGGATCACATCTACTTCTCTCTGATTTAAGCCAATCTTGGGCAAGTTCTCTTTCAGCAGAGGTGTTATCTGATGCATCAAGCCGGGCCTTAGTTTCACCTTGGGAAGCTGTCTTTGGTTCAGTGTGCTTTGGCACTGTAAAGGACAGCTGGCTTTGATCCTTTGCAGTATTTGCTTTTTCTGGGCCAACAGCTAATAGTGAAGAGAGCAACAACTGTTCTGATTTGTCCCTTGTCAGTATGGTATTTCTTTCCTCACTCTCTGTCTCTAACTCTCTCCCTTTAGTTTGAATTAAGTCCTTGGTTGGCCCCTTCAGTTTTTTAGCACGTGGAAGTGTAGCTGGCTTGGATGGATAAACTTTCTGATCAGCAGATATGGTTGGTTCTCTCATCTTACAGTATGGCAAGTGAGATTTTAATCGCTTAAATGGCTTCTTACAATAAGGGCACACTTCCATTCTGGGTGGAAGATCACGCATCCTCTTCCTGAAAAAGGCAAACATGAGAAGTGAGGAGCACAGAGCTTGTAAACACCACTATTTGATATATGTGTTTTACCTTTTAAACTCATTTGGAACACCTAGGTTGAAGGAAACTTTGAAATTTTGTTTTCATTCATTCTTTTTTGTATAGAGGCAAAAACCAGAAGACAGAGCTTGATATTAGGATAAATATTCCTGGTTCTATTTATGCTTAGTATTTTACTTTTTCTTAAAGTCTTCTGGAAATCTGTTATAGAAAAGACAAAGAGATTTTTTTCAATATTTCTAACAAGAAGGTAACTGTTATGATTTAGATATGGTGTCCCCCAAAACCTCATGTGTGAGACAATTTAAGAAGGTTTAGAGAAGAAATAATTGGGTGATAAAAGTCTTAAGCCAATCAGTGAATGAACCCCTGATTAACTAAGTGGTAATCGTAGTGGTGGGGTGTGGTTAGAGGAGGTGGGAACTGGGGAGTGGCTTTGGGGCATATATTTTGTATCTGGGGAATGGAGACTAACTCTTTCTGCTTCTTGTGAGCTGCTTCCCTCTGCCACACTCTTCCGCCATGATGTTCTGCATCACCTTGAGCCCTGAGGAATGGAGCTGGCCTTCTATGGACTGAGCCCTCTGAAACCTCGAGCCCTCTAATAAACTCTTCCTCCCCTACAATTGTGCTGGTTGGGTCTTTTAGTCACAGCAGCAAAAAAAACCTAACCAAAACAGTAACTAAGACCTAAAGACTTATATCTAATAAATTAGTGGTTAGTGTAAGGAAAAGATGACCAAAACACCAACCAGAATAAAATGTTTATTTGTTTATATTTTTTGTTATTGCAATTGGATGTTACATGAAAATAAATTGTTTAAAAACCATTAAAGAGCTAGGCGCAGGAGCATATGCCTATAAACCCAGGGACTCAGGAGACTGAGGCAGAAGGATCACAAGATTGAGACCAGCCTCAACAAACTGAGAAAGGCCCTAAGCAACTAAGTGAGATCCTGTCTCAAAATAAAAAAAATATCAAAGGGCTGGGGATGTAGCTCAGTGGTGAAGCACTCCTGGGTTCAATTCCCAGCACAAAAAAAATTACATTATTCAAGGATGGAAAAGTGACCAATTAAACTCAGGTCAGGATCCAAAAATTATTGATTAGAGCAAAGGTTTCAAAAGCAATATATGATGCCAAGCATGATGGTGACACTTGTAATTTCAGCAATGTGGGAGGCTAAGGCAGGAGAATCACAAATTCAGGGCAAGCCATAGTGAGACCATCTCAAAAAAAAAAAAAAAAAAAAAAGTTTGTAAGATCCATTGCAGTGTAAGAGGAAATTATTAGAATTCCCATTATCTAGATATAAAAAATGAAGCTCTACAAAATTTAGCATGTTAGTAATATGCATGCACATACATGCATATTAAAATGTACATGGGCTGGGGCTGTGGCTCAGTGGTAAAGAGCTTGCCTAGCACGTGTGAGGTCCTAGGTTCAATCCTCAGCACCACATATAAATAAATAAAATAAAGGTATTGTGTCCAACTACAACTAAAAAATAAATATTAAAAAACCCCACAAAACTGTAAATGTACATATAATGCACAAACACCTATGTGAAGAGACATGGTCCCCAGTTTTGCACTCAAAGTTTGTATTATGACAATTATTGACAAACTTGCTTCATTTAACATCTTTGTTAAACATATACTATGTAAAAAAGTTTTAATGCACTTACACCGTGCATTATTTACACCTCTTTGATATACTCTAAGAGTTGAGAAAAGAAAAGTGTTTAATCCCAGAGTTCATTTGAAAGTTACTTCTTTTAAAAACCTTTTGTTCCTATATAGTTCCAGAGGGCAGGGAACGCCTATCCTGCGTTCAAAACCCAGCACTGAGCCTGGCATGCAACATGTTGAATGAATTCTTTCTCCAAACATAATTACACTGTACCGCAACTGAGAATATCGTCTGGCCATTACATAGATCAGAAGGCAGAATTTGAGGTCACAAAACAAATATCCACGTAACCTACACGAAGTCATGCAAAACGAAACCGTCTCCTGCCAGTTGTGCCCAGCGACGATTCTTTCTTCGGAAGAACACGCTGACAGTATGTTGGAAGCCACGGACCGTTTACTTACCAAACACCGCCGGAGCCATCCCGTCGGAACCGAGAGACTCCGTTGGACGGGTCGGCCTCCACAGCCCTCCCGCCTCACCCACCTCCGGGAGGACCTCGGCCTTCGCACCGCGCCGTCTCCCCGCGGGCGGGCGCCTGCTCTTACCCGAGCTCCTCTAGCAGAGGCGGCGGCTAGTTCTGCGGCTGCTTCTGCCAGATCCCATGCTCTCTCTCCACCGCTCCGTCGGGCCGAGGAGACTTTACCGCCAGTCTGTGTAAGACACCGAGTCAACTGCACAGCACGCGCAGCTGGGAAACGCTGCACCGGAAGTCGCCGCAGCGGCGAGTCGGGCTCAGCAGCCCCGCCCACCTACACGCCATCTCCGCGCCCCCTCCAGCAGGTGGGCGGGACCCGAGGGCTCAGCGGGCCTCTCCGCCTCGCCGTCCCGCTCTAGCCTCGGGTCTCCCCCCAGTCCTAGAGCGCGGGCCGTGGGAAGCAGCTTCACCCTTGGGGACTCGCCGCCGAGCAGCGTCGGCACCTCCGCACACCTGAAAGTCCGGGCAGCGCCGCGTCGACCCTGGGCAGCCCGCGTGCGCCTTCCAACCCCCAGACCCGGGACCCGCGGCAGGCATCCGCGCCGCTGCCTGATGGGGCCCGCCTAAGTCTTCTGAAGCGTTACCAAACAGGGATTCAATTAAAATACTTGTGTCAATTATTGTGGCATAAGTTAATGTATTTTCAACCTGGTTGGAGTTTGACTCTATTCCGTCCTGGCTGTGAACAGGCGAACGCTCGGGCCACCTCCGACAGGGTCCGCTCTCCCAGAAGCTCCAGTCGCACCTCCCCCTGCGAGCCCGCCTTTTCCTGTGGGCGGGGTTACCGGTCAGCGCGGCCGGCTTTGCGCCACTGCGCAGCCGCAAGGGGGCGGTACCACGGCGGCTGCGACATGGGGGGGCGCGGAGGAGACGCCGGAAGTAGCGGTGGTACGGGTCCGACTGAGGGGTACTCACCGCCCGCAGCGTCCACCCGCGCGGCGACGAGAGCCAAGACCCGAGGGGGTGGGCGTGGCGGCCGCCGGAACACAGCCCACCCTGTTTGCACCTCGCGCGGGGCGGCGCCGCGTCGCTCCTCTCCACCAGCTGCCATGAGCGAGCGCCTCCGCCCCAGGTGAGAAGGGATCCCCTTCCTGCCCTGCCCCTCGCCTGGGGGCTGCGGGGATCTGCGAAGCCTGGGCGCTGCGGGGCTCCGTCAGGCTGCTCTGCGGCGGGGAGGCGGGGAGAGGGATGCGCGAGTGGCTGGGTGCCCGGTCCTGTGGGTGCCGGAGCGGGGACTCCGGGTTCAGCGTTGTCCTCTTTCCTTCTTACATCTTCGGCTGTCTTTTCCTGCTTGGGAGGCGGCCTGTCCGATGCCGGGGGAGAGACGGTGGCCCTGAAGGCTCCTTGTCCTAAATTTGGGCGGGTGGGGGGATGGGAGGAATGCCTGGTCTCGGAGGGGCAGCCCCGGGGCGGGCGCCGCGCGCTCCCAAGGTCAGGAGTAGGGGGTCGGCCTGACCCTGCCGCAGCGGGGCTCCGGAGGACGCCGCGCCGCCCCGGTCGGTTGTGAAGCTGGAGGGGAACAGCCCGGTGCTGTGGTCTGGGCTGTGACTGTAACAGGCAGGGTTCTAAACTGTTCGCACGTCTGGCCGTTTGGCTCCGAAGGCGAGGTGGGCACTGCCTGGCCCCCCAGCCTGGTCTCAGCTGGGATCTCCTTATTATTGTTGTTGTTGTTATTATTATTCCCTCCGAGAAGGCAGAGAGGAGAAAGTTTGGATGTATTACCCCAGAGTGAAGAAGATCCGCTTTATTTTAGATTAGAGAAATCCCTCATCGTGGAGCTTGAAGTGAAAACCTGTAGATCGCCAAGTCCAACTTTCTCTTCTTCAAGGAAACAGATTTATAGAGATCAGTCGATTTATCCTGGTCTGTCCAGGTTCACTGCCCTTTAGTCCATAGTAGTTTCAGGCCTAAGTAAGATGGATCATAGGATTGCCTTCCTAGATGATGCTGGATCTTTTTTTGTTCCTGGTTTTCATTGGCTGTGAGTGTAATTGGCATTCTTTCCAAAGGATGCTTCTCCGGAACACACTTATTTCATGGCATTGAAGTTATCATAGGGCTCCTCAGCCTGCATTGGATTATTAATTTGGGTCATGAAGCAAGTGGGGCATAAAGCAGCTAATTGTACAGAAGAGAAGAGTGGACTAAATTTGAATTTATAAGGTGCCTGCCAAAATTATAACCTGGTCTGTGACATTAATGCCAAAAGGTATAATCTGTCCCAATAGGTGCTAATTATTAATAGGATTGTTGAAACGTTTGAATTAGGCCAAATTGAAATTATGGCCCAATTACAGATATGCCATCAGAATTAGGAACAGGATCTTAAGATACAATAAGCTTGATCTGATATTTTTTGCTTCCCAAACCCAGTTTGTAGTTCTGATACTTTTTTTGTGTGTGTTGTCTCACATATTTGAAGAAGTCTAAATAATTTCCTGCAAAAATTTTTTTTCCAGTACTATGCACAAATAATCTGAATGTGTTTATCCAGATAGTAGATTTCTTTTATTTAGTATGTATACAATAATCTGGACATGTTTATAATGGTAACTTTTTAAAAAGAAGTAATCTTTTTTTTTTGACAGGCTTTTCTTGCCTGTTTTTCACTTCATCTTGCATTTAGGGAGGGTCATGAACCAGCTCTGCCAGTTCATTGCTCTGTCTTACCATTTCCAACTCAGTTCATTTCTTTGTATCTCTTTCTGCGATTTTGAGATGAAGGGTTGATCCAAGATGGTGATTTTTTTTTTCCTACTTGTTCCCCACAGTGCTGATAACTATTGAGGTGTCTGGTGAAGGAGTCCCTACTTTTAAAAAAAGATCCTTATCTATATATACTCAGAGTTTCTTGTCTCAGAAAGAAACAAGATTTTACATTATTTTTTAAAAAGTTTGGGGGCTGGGGATGTGGCTCAAGCAGTAGCGTGCTCACCTGGCATGCGTGCGGCCCGGGTTCGATCCTCAGCACCACATACAAACAAAGATGTTGTGTCCGCCGAGAACTAAAATAAATAAATAAATAAATATTTAAAAAAAAAAAAAAAAAAAAGTTTGAATCCCAGCCTCATAGTCTAAGATTACTTCTCAACCCCTGGAGGATGATAGGAAGGTTGGAAATAAATAAAATGACAAAATAGTAGAATCAGCCATTGTGTGAAGTAACAGATGCCAAACAGTCATCTGTACCTAGATGGTGAGGGGATAATAGAATCAATGACAGGGTGCCTGCCAAAATTATAACATGGTATATGGCATTAATGTCAGAAGCTATAATCTGATTGTACTGACAGATGAGCATGAAGCAGTAATCTTGGCCAATTAGCAAGACTGGTGAAAGCAGAATGTTTTAAAGATGGACTCTACTAAGAGCCTAGGAAAGGGAGAATGAGGAATAGGTACTATTCATTCTTAATCCCTTACTACCTGAAGGAGAGGATCACCCACACACCAGAGAGATAATGTTAGTACCTTGAGAATCAACCTATTATGAAGCAGGAATATCTATGTGGCTTTCCCAGGGTTTAGTTAAAATTTAAAAGCCCATCTACTTAAGACTTTTTTTTTTCCTATACAACCTCCTTGACATTCTTGTCACTGGAAAGATACAGCCCCTGTTATAAATGAGGAAATGGCAAATTTTAGTCAGGCTCATAAGTTTGGTTAGAGTGAGTCAGCAACCCAAAGTATAATCAGCTGTTGACATACTGATGAAACCAGCGCTCAGGGACAGCATCCTGCCATTCAGTGACTTTCTCTTTGGTGTCAACTGACTCCCAGCAGATAGTGTTTTGCTACTGCTGCACATTCCCACTTAAATTCTCTGATCATGTTGTTATGAAAGAAGTTTCCTGGTCCAAATTTATGATGATAAAACATTCATTTAATGATTAATCCGGAATTCATCTAGTTTTAACCTCCAAGTACATAAAAAATAACATGCAAATAAGATCTAACCTAAATGATGGTCTTACTTTACAAATAACTGAGTCTCAGAATTAGGTAAATGGTGAAGCCCACGGTGTTGCAGGTTGTTTAAAGCTTAATCAGTGTCACACAACTCACTTTATCATTCCAGATCTACACTGGGGTCCATAATCATTAATAAAGTTAGAAGTATTTCAAATGTGCAGAGTACAGGGAACTGAGCTGGGAGTGATAAAGTTTGTACAACATCCAGATTTCAACTCAAAACCTTAGGATCAAGGGCATCATAGTAAGCCAACTCTACCCTCATATGAAGTTGATAATTGTATAGAGGATACTGTACCCCATATACTTTCCAAAAAGCAGTTTTCCTCTCTCTCACTAGCCTCTTGTCTGTTAACTATAGAAATTTGAGGGTTGGGGATGTAGCTCAGTTGGTGGAGTGTTTGCCTTGCTTGTACAAGACTCTGGGTTCAATCCCCAGTACCATACACACACACACACACACCAAAAAAAAAAAAAAAAATTGAACGTTTAAGCATTAATAACTAAAATTAGAATATATTTTCTTCATAATATATGCTGTGTGTTGTATATGTGACCTCTAGCAGATCCTACCCAACAGAGCTTTCTGCAGCAAAGGGAACATCCTCCATCCGTGCTGTTCAGTGCAGGAGACATTGACTACACATGGCCATTTTGTACTAGAAATGTAGTGTGACCTGGGAACTGGATTTTTAATTTTATTTAAGTTTAAAGAACTGTATGGTTAGAGATTACCATATAGGACTGTACTATTGGGGTTAGGGTTTAGAAATCTTTTGATAGCACTTAATTCTTGCATAGAGTGCATGCTATTTTGTCTCTTATATTTCTAGGAGCACTTGCCTGAAAAAGATGAGTTTTCTTCAAACCCGTAAATTTTAAGCAGCTGATGCTGTGGTCTCAAAGCAACAACCTAGTAAAGTGCAGTGACTGTTATATCATAATAGAGCATGGCCAGACCAGCCAGGCCAACGTGGCTAAGAGTTGCTCCCCTAGTGATTGCCCAAAAGAGTATTCAAATCCTCTGGAGGGCACAGAGGTTTTGTTTAGTGTGATAATTGGGGGAAGTCAGGGATGCAGAAAACTAAAGATCAGAGGCTGCCATGAATCTGTGATATTCCTGTGTGGCACCATTTTTAATAAGGATTTTCTGGGCAAATAGTCAAAAGCAGCCACTCATCTCTTCAATGTTGTCGTATGGAAGGAAGTAAAGTTAGGTAATTTGAAATTGTCATTTCAGAGAACATGGAAAGAAGAAAACTTGGAGTTTGAAAGCTTAGTCATTAACCTCTTCTTATTTTGTTCCCAGCAGACTTTGGAAGTTGTCAGGCTTCTGTTTAGAAATTAGTCTTACTAATTTAAGCTTGTGCTGCTGCTACTTTATATTTTTGCTCTTAGGGCCCAGTGATGGTAATACTTCCAGCTTCTACCTTTTGGGATATCATGTGGTAAATTAAATTCTCTCAGGCATCAGGGCAAATTTATATGTTGTCATGTTTAAGTGTAAAAGATCAATTCTTGGATTTTTCTTTCCCTTCCTTGTATTTTAATTTCAGGAAAAGAAGAAGGAATGGCAATGAAGAAGATAACCATCTTCCCCCCCAGACCAAAAGGAGTAGTAGAAACCCTGTTTTTCAGGATTCCTGGGACACAGAGGTAGGAAATGTGGTCATAGACTCTGGGTTGTTTTCGCTGCTTAAGCTAAATAACCCAGTTTATGTTGTGTAATTAAAAGAAATTAATTTATTCAGAGAACAAAAGCAATCTTATTTAATTGAAGTGGTTTCAACTCTTTTTCTTCTTAT